CGGATAAAAATCTGTAATATTTACTCTTGTTGTTACAGTACCTAATGCTTGCTTTGTCCATCGCCTCTTTTTTAATTTCTGGGTATGAATTTGTCCAATATGATGGCTTAGGTTTTTAAGCGTGGCATCAAGTTATCTCCCTCAATAACCAGCCTTCGAGTTCTTCGTGGCACGAAAGCGGTGTGCTGCGTTCTTACTATTATTCAATATGGACTCCTTAATTATGCTTTATCCTTTTGGGATGATCTTGTGCTCTTATAATACTGCATGTAATTTACATGGAATATTGGGAGTTCATCCAGCTTCCTCTGTTCATGTATCTTCATGTGTCTCTAGGTTCTTTGTCTACGGGTTTACAAGCTCCATGATTACTATTTTGTCCTCCTTTCGCGGTGCGCCTACACCTAGTTGTTAGATATATATCAGGAAACTTGCTTGTTGATGTTGTGTTTCATTAATAAGATTGCTGTTAATTTTATTTTTGTGTCCTCATTCATTTTTTTTTTTGCTACTTGCAATGTTAGTCATGTTTGGAGAGAGGCAAATAAAGTAGCAGATTTGGGTAGTGAAAGAAGTTAGAATTCATGGTTGCCTCCTCCTTCTCCTTGCATGGTAATCAGTTAATTTTCCACATTAGCTATATATGTAGTAGTCTGCTTTCACCTGATAAACCTGTCTTAATTTGTCTCCAGTTCCGAAACCAGTTTTTTGTTTTTGACAATAAGGTACATTTTACAGATCCCAACGACAATCCTCTTTGTGCCCTTTCTGATATTTTGATCACTTAATGATTGAGCCAGGGAGCTGTTGATGTTCTAAAATTTCAGGCCTCCCCACGGACAGCATGCATGATTTGGAAACGTTATTGATCATGATTTAGGTGGTTCTTAATTAATTCTGCTAATTAAATTCAAGTCTAACGGGCTTTTAATTCATTTCAGCAACAAGTATTATACAGCATCTAATTATTCTCACTTTGCCTAACTAGACCAGCAAAACACCCGTAGGATTCAGGATCCCAAACCCTAACTATTTTGTTAGAGAAATAATATAAAAAATGGGACATTATTTTTTGAGTACATGAAATATAGTAATTTCACTATTTAATTTCATTTATTTTTTTAATTTCCTTTTTAATATTCTCTTTGTTTTTAAAAATTTCCTTAATTTAAATATTTTTTTCTTTTTTTGAAATCAAAGGCATTCTAGATATATAGGGAGTTTTGACAAATCTTCAAACTTTTGAATGATTTATAATACAAGATAATGTTGAGAGTAAGAGAAAACAAAACAATTACATCTTTTATAGATTAAGTCAATTAATTATTGAATCTCTTCAATAAATTGTAAGATTTATCTTATATAATATTACTTGTTGATTGATTTTTATAACATGCAAGTATATAGTAACATGAAATGTTAACATACGTTTTAATAAACTTTGAACTAATGGACCGACATGTCATAAAATTCAGATTGACAAAGATAACTATATATTTAACCTAGGTTACTTTGGAAAATATTGATATGTGCGTCTATAGAGGTTGGTTGTGCCCTTCATCTTTCAATAAGACTAACGTTAATCTATAGAATCATTTTTAAGGTTATACGAAGACAAAAGTAATTGGAGTGTGAAATAGTTGATCGGGTGAAGCAAGTGGTTACTGGGTCTATGTACAAAGAACTTCGAAATTCTGTAACCAAGAAAAAAAGTTGACCGTTGGGTAATTATTGCCTATGTTGTTGTCGTTAGAGTGGGCTCTTAGCTAGCATGACATATTCTGCACGTTTCTTTTGTTGTGAACATAGACTTTTAAGATATTATAAAATAATAAATACCATCTAGAAAATAAAAAATTTAACAAAAACTTTCTCTCTGGGTTTACGAAAATATTACAAAAACTTCTTCTTTTTAATCTTAAATGTTCTTAATTATTATTCAATATGATAGTCACATTGAGAATTTAAAAAATTTGGAGAAATAATGCAAAAAAATGGAACATGATTTTTCTAGTACACGAAAAAATAGTAATTTCAGTATTTAATTTCATTTATTTTTTTAAATATCCTTTTTAATATTCTTACTCTGTTTTTAAAAATATCCTTAATTTAAATATTGTTTTTTTTAATTAAATCAAAGACATTTTAGATTTTGCCCACCCGTAGATTCAGGAACAATAAAAACTGACCTGGGCATTTGCAAGAACGACATTTTCAATAAAAAGCTTTCTTTGTTCGTGTGTCTCTAGGCTCTCTGTCTACTGTTTTACATGCTCCCTGTTTACTATTTTACGATCTTCCATGGTTATTTGATGTCTGTAAGTATATATATACGCTAGCATGACACACACACACACACGTAGAAAACGCTATCCGTTTGACTGCAAGACATCCGACAGGAAGGGTGTGGGAATTTATGCTTTGTACAAGAAATCATGGTCGTTACATGAAACCCGTCATCAGAGGAGAGTACTGGTGGACTACGTCCGTGAGAAAGGCCTTACAGTCAATGATTCTATCATCTTAACAATGGTAGCAGATGCAGAAAATGGTGTCAGCTATAGCATTAGAGTTGAGCCGAAAACGGAACTTGCACGACATTAATCAATTTGTTGTATTTCTAAAAGCCTGTTGGATTGAAAATGATCACAGATGTCCTTGCTGCCTACCTTTTCATTTGACTATTTGAATCTCTCTTTCCATCCCTTTTGGCTTTGCAGTCTCTTTCCAAGAAAAACTGTGGCTTGAAGGTATTGGCAGTATATATTTATGGCTCTAAAAAATAAGATTTTTGATTTGAGGCTTGAGAATATTGCAGTTATGTTGAATATTTGATAGAGAAAACTTTGTTATTATTGTGGTCTTACCCGGCTCGAATCTTGATTAATTAAAATTCTGCTTGGTTATCGGATATCGAATAATTTAAAAAAAATAATAAAAAATCTAGTTTCTGGGGCCACCATCTATCGGTGGCAAGCGTTGCTAATTGGCAGTCCGTTGTGCAGCTTCTATGATTTTATTTTTTTTCAGATTTAAGCTGGATTATTTTTTAATCAAAACTAAAGCTTAATAATTTTATGGTTATGTGTGACTCCATCCTCATTTGTTCATATGGGCTGGCTACTTATGGTTGCCCTTTTGATCAGGTATTGTGCTGTCACGTGTGATTTGTCAGCGAGGAGGCCATATGTATGATCATACAATACCAGAAACTTTGCTTGTTGATGCTGTGTTTTGTTGATAAGTTTGCTGTTTTAGTTTTGTATCTTGATTCCGTTATCTTGGTGGATCATGTTTAGCATTCTTGGTTTTTTATTTTGTGGTTTGCTGGGACTGTTTTGTCACCTTCGACTAGCAATAAAGTGTGTGAGTACAAGAAGAAATAATGAGCAGAAGAAGAGAGAGTAAACGTGAGGAGAGAAAGATGTAGGGGAGCTCCCAAGGGTAGCAGCCCATGATGTTGACCGCGCCTCAATTGTTTTCCCTGGAGGGATTGGTTTTACTGTTCAGAAAACCAAAGATAAAACACACACACAGTGCTACTTGCAACGTTAGTCATATTGGGAAGGAGGCAAATAAAGTTGCAGATTTGGGTAGCTAAAGAGGTGAGAAATATAAGATGAATAAATATTTCATTATTATATATTTGAACAGATACAAAATAAAAAAACCCTAGTATATTTATAATAGAAGATGCATGTTGAGAGTAAGAGAGAAAACAAATCAATTATATCTTATTATAGATTAAGTCAATTAATTATTGAATCTCCAATAAATTTTAAGATTTGTCTTATATGATATTATTTCTTGATCGACTTTTATAATATTGAAGTAATAGTATGTAATGTTGACATACGTTTTAATAAACTTTTAACTAATGGACCGACATGTCTTAAAATTCAGATTCACAGAGACAAATATCTAGGTTACTTAATTTGGAACGTGATAGGTGCTTCTTCTCTCAACTAATCTTGGCTTTTCTCTTTTGAGTGGGCCAAAGAAAGTCGCTACTTCAAGCACGCGATAGGGTTAATCTAGGCAACTTGTGTTCGTACAATGTTCTGCATGGTGCCTCTTGATTCTAGGTCTTTGACCTTTTTTTCTAGTTCAAACCTTACCATCTATTTCCGCCATAGATTTTCTGTATATGTTGTTCCCTTCATCTTCCGATAAGATTAACGTTAACCTATAGAATAAATTTATGGTTATATGAAGAAAGAAATAATCGGCGTTTAAAATAGTTGATGATTATTAAAAAAAAAAAAAGTTGATCGAGTGAAGCGAGTGGTTACATGGGTAGATGTGTACAATGAACTTTGAAATTCTGTAACCGAGAAAAAAAGTTGAAATTCGTTTATTAGCTTGAGCTGACTAAACTCAGTTGCCATCATGACATTCTAATTCTATCTCTATTTACCATTAATGATTGCCTATGTTGCAGTCAAAGTGGGTTCCTAATAAACATCAGAAGCATGAAATCTGCACGTGCTTCAGTTGTGAAGGTAAATTACAATGACCTTTTAAGATATTATGCAATAATAAATACCATACTATCTAAAAATCTAACAAAAACTTTCTTTTCGTTTACGAAAATATTTCAAAAACTTTCTTTCTTTGAGTTTCTTTTGATTTCTTATTTATTGTTTAGCTACATCAGAGATGAGTTTGAATGATAGAGAAAGTACAGAACAGTTTAATGTGTGCTTTAGATGTTGATATTGAATCATGTTGTTGTTTTTGCTGCCTTAATTTGTTCTTCGTGTATCAGGTGTCTAAACCAGAAGATGTTTTTGATGATGAGGTCTTGTGATGCCATTACGTTGTGAGTGTCTCTGTTGGGTTATTTTTCAGCTTAAGAAAAAGTGAGTGGGTATCAAATATGTGCTTGCTAGGATAAACTGAGGTTAGGGGGTCTTCCCCACAAGTATCAAAAACCCCCAAGGTGGGAATTATTGCATGGGGCAGTTTGATATTCTGGCATGTCCAGACTAACACAGAGCCTGATTTTACCCTTGCTAAAGCGAGTAAGGGCAGCTTGTCATTACCTGAAATTGGTTCCAGGGCAGTTTGTCATTACCTGAAATTGGTTCCTTTTACGCTAGGGTTCAGAAGCCATCACAGCAGCGCATTTATGGTCCAAAGACCGTGAAAATGATGCTGGAAAGAATGGTAAGTTTCATTGCGCTATCTTTTACTGCATGGAGTTTGATATCTTTGTACCACAAGATGTTAGCTTTGCCCGCATCCTTGCTTTAACTGAAGCTGAGCAGATTTATCTTTAACTACGGAGATGATAGGCATGTGTCTCATGCTTAGGCTTGACAAGTTTTTCAGGCTGAATCCGAGATACCTATGGTTAAAAAAGGACTTCTGTAAACCAAAGTTTGTCAACCCTGCTCACATTAACCTAGAATCACTTTAGCCAAACTCTTTTCGAACCAGATTTGTTAGTGTGTGGTTTCCTATCTGTTGACGTTGTATTTTCAGGAGAAGTACCCTCAGAAACCGTGGCCCAAGGACCAAATATGGTCATTCGAGAACTCTCCAAGAATTTCTGGCAGCCCAATGCTAGATGCTGTATTGAACAATGCCCCACTGGACAGAGAAATGGTACACTGGTTGAAGCACAGGCCTACAGTATACCAAGCAATGTGGGATCGATGGAGTTGCTCTCCCCGGACAGCGTAAGGCGCCGCATCGGGCGGGGGATTATCATTAATCAGGCAACAAAAGCTTGTTAAGTGTTCTGGAATGATTTCTTCATTTTAGTTCACAGCTGCCCCTGTTAGTGTGGGAGTTGGACATCATTCCATAGCATCTCTCTCCCTCTGCTGCTTTCTTCCCGTCCATGTTAAGTGTGTGTTTATTACATGATTTTAATTTGAAAAAAAGTAGTTTTATAAAATGTAATTTTGATTGAGGATGTTTTGGTATTTTTATATATTTGATTAAAACTGTAGTTGAAATTGAAATTGAACAAAAAAGTAATTTAATATGTTTGGTTAAGAATACTTTTTTTGTAAAATAATTTCAAAAAATATATATTAATATTGATAGTTTTGAATTTATATATTATAAATTTAACTACTGTTATTACATCATGAAATAAAAAAATATTTTATTATTACATTAAACTATCTATAATTTTATCATGTATGAAATACATCCAACAAAAACCATAATTTCTTTGGTTTCTTATATGCACAACAACATCTTGAATGAAATTGAGATTGCAATCTCCATTTAATTTATTATTAGTGTCATTAAATAATATTAAATACTAATTTTTTTAAATGAAATACAATTAAACATAAAAAAATAATTTTTTATTTTATTTTACTAGGTCGGATAGATTGTTAGTTATGTTTTAAAATATATTAATATAATATTTTTTTATTTTATAAAATTTATTTTTGATATTGATATATAAAAATTAATTTAATTTTTATTTTAAAATAGTAAATTAACAATAATTTAACCATAATCCAAACATGGTCATAATCATTATTTATAAGAAGAAAGTTAGGGATGGCTTGACATTAACATATAAAGAAAAGAATCTCTATGATAATAAAGTATAATAAATTATTTTTATTTTGGCATAAATATCTAGCACTTTATAGATTTAATTTATTATGATGGGTAGAATCTCTATAGAATAAGAGCTCAATTATTTGTAAAACATGTGAAAGCAGCGCTTGACTGCTTTTTTTCTAGCCCTTCGTTCGCAATGCAGTAAATAATGGGATTTATAAACAGTAATTTTGTGATTCATTGTTTGGTAGCAAAGAAAAAGGAAAAAGGAAAATTTCCCATCTCTCTCTCTCTCTCTCTCTGCCCTCCATTCTGTGAAGAGAACAAAATAGCGTAAACAGGTAAAAAGCTCAGGGGTCCTGCCATGCCTGCTGATTTCTAGCAGCACTCTTTCTTCCCTGAAAGGCTGACACCTATATAACTGTACTCTCACGCCCACGCATTATCCTCGCTTGTTCCTTTTGTTGTCTGCACACCCCCTCATCACTCATTCTCCACCGTCTGATCACCCCCTCACCTAAAAACAAAAGCCCCCTTTCCTGACATATAATTGTACGAACAACCCCATCAGTGCTCTATCTTCAATGTATCCCGTTATTTCCATTAACCTCGAGTGGCAGTCGTAATCCAGACCGTGCTACCATGTTTCTTACGGAACTCCCGTTTCCACAGCGCCGATGACTTTCAACTCCGTCGACATGTTAACCCCGTCCCTTCTCAGTCACTACAACAACAATCCCTTGATTTCTCTGGCATTAAACTTCACCAACTACTTGAACGAAGATGGCAATTACTATTAACACCCCTCCAGGCTCCAGCCTTGAAACATATTGGTTTTGGCAACTGCTGTCGCTCACCTCAACTCAGTGCACCCCATGAGTCAACTAAACCTTAAGGTTGCTTCTCTCCTGTCCCGCAACCAGTCTAGTCAACTCATCCGTATGAATCTCTCCTCAGTCCTGGACGAGTTGTTAAGGCTTTAGAATTGAAGAGAGAGTTAGAAGGAGAAAAGAAATTGAGGGAGAAGTAAAACGGACTTAAAAGAAATGAAATATTCATTCTGTAACAACTCCAGAAAATATTTTTTTAAAATAAATTTATTTTAAATTATTTTAATATGCTGAGTTATATATATATATATATATATATATATATAGACACACATGTCAATCCCATTCAAGGGACTAACGCCTCAATGGGCTTGGCTACGATTTAGTTGGCCTCTCTAGACTTTTCACTTGCATAATAACTACCATTGGCCCATTGTTCTTTTCTGCTCAAGGGGAAAGGCATGGAAGAAATCCCAGGGAGCAAAAATAAAATACATTCAATATTTCCATCTCTTTAAAAGCTTAGGTTATTTGATCTTCATGTCAATCTATTTTATTATCTTTCTTAAGATTTTTCCATTTTATTTTATTTTAAAGTTTTTGATTTTGTCCCTGTTAAAGAAGTTTGGATTACATCCCATAATATTAACAAAGTCACCAATTTAAGTAAGTATTAAAATTAAAATTTAATCCAAGTTTTTAATTATAAATTTAAATTTAACATGTTAATCTATTAACATGATCTTTCATGATATAATTAAGATATCAAAATTAAAATTCAAAGGAAGAAAAGGTTTAAATTTTAGTGTGTTTGGTAGGCTAGTAGCAATAAAATATTGTCGTTGATATAAGATTAATAAATAAGCTATAACATTCGAATTGAACCGAATTTGAAATTAGCTATATAATTCATCTATATATAAGTTTCAGTCATTAAATTTTGGTTGGATAAAAATCTGTAATATTTACTTTTATTATTACATTATCTAATACTTACTTGGCCCTTTATATATATATATAATTTCTGGGTTCTTACAAGACTTTGTTCAATATCATGATTTAGATATTTAAACATAGCATCAAGCTATTCTCCTCTGTAACCAGCCTTTAGGTTCTTCTTGGCACGAAAGCAGCGTGCTGCATTTCTTTTGATTTATATGGGTGTCCAGGTCAGCTTGCGCGTACCACGACTAATCTCACGGCCTAATGAACATCCTATAAGCCCAGTGAGCATATAAGGCATCGCAGAAATGACAAGTGTGCACGGTGAGATTTAAACCCAGATACAAAAAAATAGAACAAATCTCTCTCATCACTAGACTAAGACCTCAAGTGCTTAATTGCAGCGTGCTGCGTTTTTTTATCATTCTATATATATATATGAGCTCGTTATCCTTGTTCTTTTGAGGTTCTATATATATATATGAGCCCGTTATCCTTGTTCTTTTGAGGTATTCCATGTTATTTAATATTTTTTTTATTTGTTCATGTAAATAATATGTTCCTTGTTTGTTGATGTTGTGTTTCATTAATAAGATTTTTGTTTTAATTATTTTTGTATTTTTAATTATTTTTTGTTTTTATTTTTGTTTTGTTTGTCATGTATGTGTTTATAAGTATAATAATAATTATTTTTAAAAATATTTCTTATTCTAAATAAAAAAAAATTAGCATCCAAGGAGCGTTTTCAGGAAATTTGATAGTGTGGGTTCCAGATGCATCAGCCACAGAGACTTCTGAAGCCACTGTCAGAATTCAGCAGTCAAATGTTGAGCTGTTTAGTGGTTCTTCAGGAACTCTTTTGAAGTCCCAGACTGTTGCTAATACTGAGAGTAACAAAGATTCTAGTTCATTTCACAGCCTTCATCCACAGTTCATCGGTTTTACCTGGGGGAAGCTACATGAATTGGTAATGAAATCGTACAAGAACCGAAAACATATGTACCGCAAATCAGGTATGGATGAGTTGCTCATCCAGGTTTCCTTTTGTATCTGCAACTGAGTAATATTAATTGCATGATCAAGTATTACATGATCTTCTTGCTGCTCTCACTTTGCACAAGTGCCCTGCTGAGAGGGAAACATTAAAAAAAATATTTCTTAAATTAGTTTTTATGATATTACTAAATGTAAAAAATAATTTATTTTTTAGGAATTTACTTTTTAAAATAATTATTTTTTAAAAAATTTACTTTTCAGCAAACAAATAAAATATTAAAAAATAAAAATATATTTTATTTTTTCATCTTTTTAAATGCCATGTTGTTTTATTTTATGTTAATTTTTTTAATTTTATCCTTATCAAAGTTTTGGATTATATTTTTAACAGTAATAACAAAGTCACAAGTTAAATAAATATTAAAATTAAAATTTATTTCAAGTTTTGAATTATAAATTTATATTTAATAGGTTAATCTATTAACACGAACTTCCATGGTATCGAGATTGAATTTCAAAGAAGAAGAAAAAAAGCAAGAATTTTAGGGAGTGTGGGAGGGCAAATAGCATAAGATTTTGCTTTGACAAAGAGAACTCGTAGCGATTTGCAACAAATATTGATATTTTTACTTTGACAATCCATATAGGTGGTGGCATGACCTCATCTAATGATAAGAAATTATCTTTGCCACGTCAAAAGCTTGTCTAAAGTCGAAGATGATGTGATAGAAACGCGCCACGACAGGAGTTTTGCAGCTGTCAAGGACTTTTGCCTTCTTTTGTCAGGTGTCAGTTAATCCAAATATTTATATTAATAAAAAAACCCAATACCTCCTAAAAAATACACACATA